TGATTTAGTTCTTTTGAAAGTAGTTTTTTTTGAATAAAGTAGTCATTTGGAATTTTGTAAAAACTATAATGCTTTTAGAGTATGTTTACATAGTATTTGAAGTTAGTTGCATCTTTAGAGTTGCAAAAAAAAAGATATCTTATAGCTGAATTAAGGTTTTGAGGTGTTGATGATAATGATTTCCAAGTGGGTGATAGATTAAAGTAGTTAGATGGTATATGATCAAAGTCATAATATTTACACAGTTTTTGTTTGTATTTTGCTAATAAGGTAGTTTAGATCAGCTTGTTATTGGAAACATTGCATTTGTTTCTTCATTTAGATCAGTTGGGTTGTTAGGAAGGGTGATAATAGGATTAGCAAAGTAGTTTTTATTGAGTTGGTCAAAGGTGTAGATTTTATAGAGTACAAGCACTGTTGCTTAAGTATATTTTTAGTCTTTAATTAGAAGTGAAAAGGGAAGTATATCTTTTATGTTTTGGTCAATTAAGTCTGAAGAAGTTGGTAGTGAAATAAGGAGTTAGGAATATGCTTCATTAAGGAGTTTGCATGTTTCTTTAAAGGTAAGTGCACAAAGATTTGTATGAAGTTAAAGCAGTAGAAAATGTGTTTTGTACATTTATAAGGGCTAGTTGTAAGAAAATCTAAATTTTTAATAAAATTTATTACAAGTTTAATATTGAGTTTTTTGTGAATTTGATCTTTGTTAAATTTGTTTATCAAAATGATATTATGTAATTTTTTATATTTTTTAAAAGCAATTTGGTATAGAGAGTTGAATTCTTTTTGGTGTTGAGATGCTGTGGCTTTTGTTCTTATGAATAAGCAAAAGAATGCTGTGTCTAAGTAATTGAATTTTTGGTTAATAGCATATAGGATGTTGTGATTTGAAGAGATAGTTTGGATTTTGTGAGTAAAAAATTCTAGGAGTTGTTGTTTGTTATTGAGAGATTTGACCATTTTATCATTATTCTAAGTTTGAATATCAAAGTTGAGTACTCATCTTGCTGCAAGAGCTTTAGTTACAGAATTGCACCAATCGAAAGTTGTGTTGTTTTTTGATTTTGATAAGTTTGAAGTTACTGCTTTGCTATATGCTTTATTAGTAACAGATTGATGATCATTAGAAGTATTAGAGATAATGTCTATATTGTTAGTATGTGTAGTTAATATTAAGGTTGATTGGATTGGTAGAGCTTCTGTAAGTGTAATTGGTTCAGAGTTCTATGGGTTGTTTTCTGGAATAAAACTATTAGATACAGATGCCAAGTGCATTAGATTGGGTAATGTAATAAGGAAGTTTTGGAGTATGAAAATATTTGCATGTTTGTTTTGATGACTGTAGTATATAACATCATTTGAGATTTTGTAGAGGGTAAACTAGTTTGCCTACTTTTTGTTAAATTTTTCAACAAAAATAAGATGTAAAAGAAACAAATGAGTTAAAGTTGTTAGTTTTATTTTTTTTTAAGAAAGTGAAGTTTGTTTCTAGTTCTGTATTTTCTTTAAGTCTTTTATTTTAAGAAACTTGGAGTGTAACTGATATAACTTGGATGTTTAGCTAAACTGAGGCCTCATAGAGATTCATCTGTGAAGGTAGTAGCACCAAGTTAATATTAAGAAATGTTTTGAAGTCTTGTAGTTTAGTGGTTGAAGCTTTTTGTCTTTTGGCTATGTTAGATAAGTCTTAGATATTCTGAGAGTTTATTTCTCTCTTTTGAGTATTTTTTGTTATAATTTTAGTTAGTATGTTTAATATTTTTGTATTAATTTTTTGTTTACTTTTGTTTTGTCAATAATTTACAGAAAGTTTTTTTTTAGTATTTTAATCTGCTAACTGCTAACTATATAACTACTATATACTATTTGTATAAAACAAATAAACTAAAAATTACATGCAAAAATAAAAACTCAAATTAATTTATCTCTAATCAAAACCTACTAGAATAGTATTTTAGTACTTTTGTTTTTTTTTTATTATTATTAAGATGATCTTATTGGTCTTTTGACTTTTATTAATAACTTTTTTAATAATATAATTTTATAAACTATTATAAGAAAAGTATATAATTGGCTACATATATAACTTTTTTATATTATCTATTTAAGAAGTCTGTCTAAAGATTTTCTACTAATTGTTATATCTAACATTTTTGTTTGTGTGGTTTATTTTAAACTCTCTGAATCTTTATTTGTGTTAATATTACTAAGTCATGCTTAGATTATTGTTTTAAATTTAAAATTGTTATATCTTCAAAATAAACTTTCCAAAGTCTTCTGTATACATTTTTATAGCTGATTTGGTATTACTATAACAGAACTAATACTTGTGATTAAAGCTAATTATTAAACTGTTATACTTTTGTAAAGTTCTTTTAAACCTTAGCATCTATTTTACAGTATATCTGAATTACTTTAATATATTTTTATCTGTTTTTCAAACTTCTAATTCAGATAATTTAATAAGTCTACAACTAGTACATTGGTATATTAGATCAATCTGATATGCTTTTTCTTTAGTCCATTTTAGTAACCTAATTAGTAGTGTCTCTGAAACTTTTAACCTAAGGGTTTTTGTCTATTTAGGTATTTTAATTTTAGTATTTGTTTTCTAAAGCTAGTCTTTACAGTAATGCTATTAAAAATATATGCTATCTTTTTACTTAAATCTTTCTAAATAAACTTTTTGTTTTTCAATTTCAATAGATTTATATAATTACAAGAACTTATCTAGAGTTTGTATTATCTAATGCCAGTTTGCATTCTTTTGTATAATATTATACTTATACAGATGCTTTATAATCTGTTATATAGTTATTTTAAAATGATTATTATTACAGATATCTTAACTTAATTGTTGAAAACAGTTGCTATAATATAAATATTACATAGATAATTATTTAAATTTTTACTGTTAATAGAATTTAAATATTCAACCTATTATTTGAGAGATTAACAACTTATTTACTTCACTAAGTTACTATATCCTATTTTAACTTTTTTTTTTTTTGTATTAAGATGATCTCTTTAGTCTTTTAGCTTTTTATTAATAATTTTTTTAGTAATATAATTTAATAAACTACTACAGAAGAGTATATAATTAATTATATATATAACTTTTCTATATTATCTATTTAAGAAATTTGCTCAAAGATTTTTCATTAATTGTTATATCTAACACTTCTGCTTAAATGTTTTATTTTAAATTCTTGAAGCCTACAAATTATGTTAATATCACTAGATCATATCTAAATGTCTAGATTATTGTCTTAACTTTAAAACTATTTTATTCTTAAGATAAACTTTCTAAAACCTTCTGTATCTATTTTTACAACTAACCTGATATCATTATGATAAAACTAATACTTGCAATCTAAGTTATATTATTTAACTGCTATATTCTTATAGAGTTCACTCAAACTCTAACATCTACTTTATAGTGTAATCCTAGTACTTTAGTATACTTCTGTCTTTTTACTAAATTTTCAATCCAAATAGTCTGTATAGAACTATGATCAGTCTATTGGTATATTAGATTAGCTTAATATTTTTTTTTTCAGTTTATTCTGATGATTTGATTAATAATATCTTTAAGATTTCTAACCTAGAAGTTTTATCTATTCAGGTACTATAATCTTGATATCTATTTTTTCAGACTAGTCTTTACAGTATAATCATTGAAGATCTAACTATTTTTCTACTTGAATCTTTTCAAATAATCTTTTTATTATCTAATTTTAACAGATTTATATAACTACAAAAATTTATCTAATATTTGTATTACCTGATTGTCAATTTGTATTTCTCTATGTAATATCATATTTATACAGATGTTTTATAACCTACTAGTTATACTGGCATGACCATCATTACAGATATCCTAATCCAATCATTAGTAATAATTGCTATAATATGAATATTACATAAATAATTATTTAAATTTTTATTATTAATAAGATTTAAATATCCAATCTATTATTTGAAAGGTTGACAACCTAACCACTTCACTAGATCATCATACCTCTATTTTAACACTTTTGTACTAAAGTATATAGTTAAAATTATTAATAAAAATATAAACAAAACCCCATCTTTATATCAAAAAATATATATAGTCAGACCCTTTTATAATTATACTCATTATAAGTATATCATATAAAAAACCTCTTTATAAGCATATTTATTTAAAAACTAATTATATATAAACATATTAAAAAAACTTTTTTATAAGCACATCTTAGTAAAAATATTTTTATAAGCACATAAATCTTTATCCTGAAGGGTGTGATTATAGAGAGGTTTGACTGTATAATTAAAAAAATAAAAATAAAGTTTATAATTTTAATTTTTTAATTTAAACCTAAATAATTTTTAAAATATAGTTAACAAACTAACAAAAATTTTATATAGCCTGACTTTTTATTATCAAATTTTGATTTTTTATTATTTATTTAAAAAAATTTCTAAAAACACCATTGGCAATAAAACTGTAAATAAAAACCAATAAAGCCAATAAATACCAGTTTTTTTTGAGCTTCATTCACGTAAAATTTAGCTTCATTGGTTTTATTGGCTTAGTATAAGAAAAAATATACAACATATTAGGTTAGAGTAAGTTAAGACAGATTAGAGTTAAAGATGTGTTTATATTTAACATTAAGAGCTGAACATTTTTACTTAAAGCATTTATACCAGTTTTCTTAATAAAATTTTGTGATATTAACGATTTTTTGTTTTTTTTTCTTACGTACCCACCGAAATTCACTTAATTTAAAAAAATTAAAACAAGCTAAACTATATTTAATTAAAAAAAATTAATTAAAATACTGCATTTGTTTTTTCGTCTATATCGATATCGCTAACATTATTAATTATTAAGTTTTCAGTGTAAATATTTTACAAATATACATATTTTACATAACTAAATTAAGCGGATCACGTGAATATAAATAATATTTATATCCGAAAAAGCCCGTATCAAACGTAATCTTTTAAACAAAATGTCGCTACCCAAGAGAATCGTTAAAGTACGAAAGTTTACTTGTTTATAAAATAATTTGCTTGCAGCACGATAATGTTTTTATGAGGACAATTTTGGAATAAAATTTCGTTCTTTAACGATAGGAAACCGAGCGTTTGATACAAGAACCTGCACCTGGCATAAGCGCTACACCTCACGAAGAAAATCTCCGTTACTTTGATGTCATCATTGCCGGACCGAGCCAGTCTCCTTTTGAAGGTACGAACTTTTCTCTTTCAAAAAAAGAGCTTTATAAATAATTTTCTCTAACTGATCATTGTTTTGCTATAGGTGGTGTTTTCCAACTTGAGTTGTTTTTACCCGAAGAGTATCCAATGGCACCACCCAAGGTCCGTTTCATTACTAAAATATACCACCCAAACATCGATAAACTTGGCAGGATTTGTTTGGACATTTTGAAAGGTTAGTAAAACTATTTTTACTAAAGGTTGGTTCATTTATGATTCATCAATATCTTGACCATTTATTTTAGACAAGTGGTCGCCGGCTCTTCAAATTCGTACGGTGCTTCTCTCCATACAGGCTCTTTTGTCGGCTCCCAATCCAGATGATCCATTAGCAAATGATGTTGCACAACACTGGAAAGAAAATGAAAAAGCGGCCATTGCTACAGGTGACATTTTTTCCACTAAATTGGATTTTAGTTGCGTTTGATCAGAAATTAATTTAATTAATTGAAACAGCTCGAGAATGGACTCGTAGTTATGCTCAAGGTTAGTGACTGTAGTCGATTAAAAACTTATAAGCTTAGCCGAGTCGATAACTTGATACGGCTAAGTCGGCTTAGTCGATTATTATCTCAAACATTTAATCTGCCAATAATAAACTATAATCCGGAATCCCCCCACGCTCGTATTTTATATTGTTTATTTTTTTTAGATAAATAAAAAAACGTCGTTGCATAATGTTCCCGAAGTAAGAAAAACATTGTACACTCACCGATCCTATATCTATCAACATTTTAATAATTATTTTACGATAGTACCTAGAATTTATGTATTGTATTGCCTGTTCTTTCTAGGCATGAATCTATAATATTTTAATATTTTGAATAATGGTGGCAATTTTGTGAATTGTTGTAATATATCAGACTTTTTTAGAAAAATTTTTATTTGTTTTAAATTTGGGTATTTTGACATCGGGTTAAAAGGATTAGTTATTATCACAAAAAAATTATGATCTTCTTTATACATCGATTAGGCTAGACGTTTATGGTTAAGAAAGTTTGATTTTGATCCATTGAGGGTTATCACACCCCAATTTACTATATTGACATTAAATTTATAGAGGTTGTACTTAAATTTTAAAATTTGTAATTATAAGCAAATGTGACTATAGAGAGGCCTGACTGTATTTTGAACGATAATGGATGTGATGACTAGTATATATTATATGTAAATCGATATTTTTAGGCCAAATCATAGGGAAGTCGATATTTTTTGCAATTTTTAATGCGGTGTCAAAATTAAGTGTATAATTTGGGCCGGACAACATGGTAAATAAGTCGATATTTTTCACTGTTCCTGATCACACGTAGTCTTGCTCTGATCAGCCCACTTAATTCATTAAGTTCATAAAGAAAAGTTGGTTTATCATGTGAAGATTTCATTTGCTACATTACATGTATCAATATATCAAATATATACTTACTATAGTGCACTCCCCCCTTTTTTTAATACCCCCTTGCAATACCCACGAGATCTCTATTAATTAAATATAGATTTTTTAAAATTCTTAGACTGCTTACTGTAAGTATATGCTTGAAAAATTTTTTCTTGCGACACTGATCCGCTGCTGTATAATACAGTAATATACTTTTGTAAGTTTTTTTGATGGATAGATTGTATTGGTCAGTGCTACGGTATTATTTAAGGTGTACATAATATAAAAATTAAAAAAAAAAAAAGTTACTTCGACGACGACAGGACTTGAACCTGTGCGGGCAGAGCCCATGTGATTTCTAGTCACACTCCTTAACCACTCGGACACGTCGTCAGGGATATAGTTTTTAACGATATCTATTAAATTATATAAAAATAAACTACGCATTAAAGGTCGAAGCTATAAGTACCCCTTTCTTCCAACTAAAATTTGAGAACGACGACCCTCTTTCCCACAATTCTTGTAAAGTCCAGTCTCAAAGGCACTAAGTATTTGAGTTTTTTAGGCACTAAAAATATGAATTTTATTATTTTCAAGTCAAAGTCAAAGACCCCACATGAGTTGGTGAAATCTGTAAAGGATGCCGTTAATAAGTTAGACAGCATGGATAAAAAGAAGGTTCGTTAAAACGACGAGCTAGCATTGTTTTTAGACTTCTTTTATGTATTGAGGGACGATACAGTTGTAAGGAGTTCAGGCCATTTTTAGAAGTACTTCCTTATTTCGTTTGAAGACTTCATTTATGTTTTTTTCACATATAAGAAGAGTGGTTCCTGACCTCTCAACAACCTGCATAGTGATAAAGATAAGAAAAGATAAGAAGAATGGTCCTCACCAAATGTCATTTCGTAGGCAAGCGAAGACATATCGAAAAATTTATTGTCAATGAAAAATATTCTTTATGGTGAAGGAGGTGAGTATATATTCGAAAGCGTCTTTGTCAGAATACACTAGAAATTGATTCATTTCCATTACATTTCTTAGACAGCGAGCCAGTTCAAGAAACTGTCGCACAATTAGCGCAAGAAGTATACAACAACGATATTTTGCAATTACTTGTACTTAATATCTGGCGATTTGAATTCGAGGTAATCCTTAGTTTATATACTTTTATTTTAAATTTGAAGTCTTTTTTATTAATTGGCACTTAAATAATGATTAGGCAAAGAAAGATGTTTCACAAATATTTAACAACCTTTTAAGAAGGCAAATTGGTTCATTGACACCTACTGTCGACTATTTAAAAAATAAAGAAGATATCTTATTTACTTTACTCAAGGGGTTAGGAGTTTTATCAATTCTATGACATAATATTTAAATGATTATTAATATTTCATATTTTCACAATTCAGATATGAAAATTCCGAAGTAGCACTCAATTGTGGATTGATCCTTAGAGAATGCCTCCGACACGAATCGTTAACTAAAATTATTTTGTATTCTCCTCAATTTTATAACTTCTTCGAATATGTGGAGCTGAGTACTTTTGATATTGCTAGTGATGCATTTGCCACATTCAAGGTTAGATGTTTTTAATAATTACATATTTTGTAAGATTAGGTTATGCTTAATATTTTTCGTTTCAAATAGGAAATATTAACACGGCATAAAACGTTAGTAGCTGAATTTTTGGATACAAATTATGATAGGGTATATTAAGTTTTATTATTCTTCTTCTTTTTGATTTATGTATTTGTTGCATTTGTTTCTATGTATTAACTATTTATCGATCAGTTTTTCGAATCATACACCAAATTATTGAATTCGAATAACTATGTAACTAAGCGACAGTCTTTGAAGGTATGTTTATAGATAATTATCAGTTTATTTGATCGTCTGTTAATTTGGGTTTTATTTAGTTACTCGGTGAAATTTTATTGGATCGTTGCAATTTTAATGTGATGACTCGATATATCGCGAACGCAGAGAATTTGAAATTAATGATGAATTTATTAAAAGATAAAAGTCGTAATATCCAATTTGAGGCATTTCATGTGTTTAAGGTGTGTATAAATTCCTATATGAACTGCCAGGTGACCGATGGGACATTGCTAATAACGTAAATATCTTATAATTCTAGATATTTGTAGCAAATCCAAACAAGAACAAATCAATTTCCGACATTTTATGGAAAAACAAGGAGAGACTGATCCAATTCTTGGGAAATTTCCATAACGAACGCCATGGTTTGTTAATTTGTTATATTATGATTATACGTGCACCTTTATATTGCTATTAATGTTTATATGTCCTGATTATAGATGATGAACAATTTAATGATGAGAAGGCATTTTTACTTAGACAGATTCAAGACTTGAAATGCTCAAATGACTTAAAAGACTAAGTAGGAGTATTGATTGGGCTAGCGGGGTTGTGGGAGATTGGGCTGCGTCTAGGGTTGCGACCAACCCACCTAGCATCGCCGCCCAAATCAGTTACATACGTAATAGTAGTTTAAAAATTAGACCTGATTTATTTTATAGCTAGCCATTATTAGAGCAACCTCATGATCTTCAATCAAAATTCGAAATTGAAGATTTATATAATTGCAAAAAAAAGAATTTATTAATATCATCAGAATAAAAATTTCGAACCCATGAATTTGGTTTTTAATTTTATAGCAATTTAATAGAATAATGAACCATAAATCCAATTTTCTAATAATTTAACTTAAACTATGCACATATTTTAACTATTATTTAATTTATTTTGATATTTGGAAGTTTTTTTTTTTTTTATTCGGAAGCTTACAAGGTTAATAAAGTATATGCAAATATAATAACTGTAAAATAAGCTAATGTATCTGATTTTACGAAGCCAAAGAGTTATTACTTAAAATTAAATTAAGATCTGTAATTCATAATACAAGTTGACTAAGTCAACTGTCAGAAGATTAGCGTTACGTAGCGTTAGTGATAGTCAATCGCATGTATGTCCTTCATTACTTTCATTCATAACTATAAACATAGCAATAGATATGCATCTGGCTAAAATTAAGCCCCTGAAATTCGATCTTCTTGCATGCATTGACTAGTAATTTCAAGTAGGTTTTAACCCGTTTAAAACATCCTGACCTGGGTCACCTGCAGGTAAACCAGGTGAAGACAGGTCAGTTAAAAAAGCCACCCATCTGGGTCACTTTGTAGATTATTGAGTTATTTAAAAATAACACAAGATAAAAAAATATCGTCCGAAGAACATAGAATCCAAATTTGTCAATAATCATCTCAATTAAATAAAAAAATATTTTATACCGATAGCTTTTTATTCACGTGATTTTTTGAAACCCTATTAATTAGAAAAATAAAGTCGCGGAAAAAACCTATATTCTTAAAATCAATTCAAAATAATCTCAATATTTTAAAAGTTTTTTTAGAGACGAGTTTCAAAAGTAGTTTAATTCATAATTTGAGAAAACAAAGATGTTTGGTAAAACGAAGTGATATTGTCACGGGTTATAGCGCTTTGCAAAAAGGTAATAATGATAGAGGGAAATTTCAGGGATTCACAATTTCTATCAACCATATTTTTCAATAAGCGACCTCTATATTTATTCAAAATTTGTAAACTCTTTTAGAATCTGCAAAGGTCGCACCTTTTGACCCACCTAGTATCGCCATCAAAATCAGGTACGTAATATGGTGCTTAAATTTATTTGCTGACATTAAACATTTAATAAATTTAAGAAACTGATATTTCTACACCTCATTGTTATAGGTCTAAAAAGATTTTACATAATTGTATAATAAAATTGATCCGCTAAGATTACAGAATCTTCTTAGCACTACTGCAATCATTACAAAATCTTGGAGCATTTTATAGTTTATAACAAAATGCAACTTAATTGTTGATTGCATAAAATTGGTATTAAAGTGCTAATATAGTTTTTTGGTTCTAGTTAATCTTTAAAATATTAGAATATTTAATCTTATTAGGATGCGAAAATATCAAAATGAGGTGTGAAAATATCAGTTTTCCAAATATGAAATATATAATGAATGTTTAATGTTACATAGACGTTTATGTATTTTCACATGATATAGGGGTGAGTCAATAGAAACGCACCAGATTTTTCCTAAGTAAATTTTTTTGAAACTTTAAATCCAAATAACTTAGCAAAAACTTAATCATATTATAAGATTTATATAGAAAATAAAAATGTGCTACTAGTAAAACTTCTTACGGTTGTAGTCAAAATTTTATAATATATAGAACAAAATGTTCTTTTTATAATAGTAAAATTTTGGCAAATAAAGTATTTAAAAAATTTACATTTCTATATATTGTAAAGCTTGCCTTAGTGGACTCAAATTTGCCTCAGTTACACAAACCGATTAATTTTGATTGGTTGATATCATATGATTATCATATGATTTTTGCAAACAACTTTTGATACCTAAATTTTAAATAGTTATATCTCAACGAATATTCATCTAATTTTAATAATTTTACTATCATTAGAATCAGAAAACCCTGTTTTATAATTTTACTTAATAGTCCAAAAATAATTTGCTTAATAAAATTTTGCAAAATTTTAAAAAGAAAAGATAAATACCATGAGTTTTATATATAATTTACAATTTGTATCTCTTTCTACCTTTAATAATTTTTGTTTTAAATTAATTCTAAAATCTTATAGATTTATTTAAAAAATTTTTTATTAAATTTAAATAATTTCTTGTCAAGTTATCTTTATTTAAAAGTTGCAAAAATATTTTACTAAAAAATATTAGTGCATTTTTATTAACTTACCTTTATATATTGATTCAAATCATTAGACTAATTATAATTAGTTGGTAGATCATGTTTTATAATATATATTATATAAAATCATACAAAAATTTTTTTTAAAAATAGTTTTTTTTTTTAAACCTTAAGTAGTTATATTAGTTTTTTTTTTTTTTTAAATATTAAAATGAGTACTTGTGATTCAGGATTTTATTGATAGTACATTCAGCTAATGATTGCATTACAACCACGAGGGGCAACCATGGAAAGAGTGTACAACTAGCCACTCGTACAACTTTAGTCATTGTCTAATTTAAATAGTCCGTCCAAAGGTTCTATACTAGCTGCCATACCTGAAACCTACTTGTAGGTTCCCTGTTTAACCATTCTGTTCCCGTATCTACCTACCTACTTACACCTACCAAGATGTCCCGGTCGATATCAGTTTAAATATGTCATGGTTACTAAGTCTTTAAAGAAGTTCACTCACATAGGGAACCTTTGACCTTGTACTAAACCTTCCAGAATCTTCTGTATCCCATTTTTACAACTGACCTGATATTGCTATGGCTGAGACCAACACTAGTGGTCAGAGCATACCATTAAACTGCTATGCCCTTGTAGAGTTCACCCTAACCCTGGTACTAACTTCACAACATATCTCTACTACTTTGGTATTCAATTCAAGTTCCAC